TAAAAAAAAAATTTTTATGAATGTTCCCGGTCCCTTCTGCGACCGTTCTTTTATGAGAATGCCCTCACCGAAAATCCACGGGCGTACCTACTATTTCTTAATAATATTTTCAGGTAGGTTTGCAAAGGGACAAACATGACCATTTCTTAAGTAAATAGAAACCAGACATCGCGTCTGAAAGTAAACGAATTACAAGGGAAAACTAAAAATGATGAAACTATTTATGACTATTTCTTCCAAATTTCATCTTAAGGTAATGGTTCTGCTTATTTGCATCACCCATCTCTCTGAGAAGAATAATAATGTTGATGGTATTTTTCGTACCTTAAACTCTTTAGGCATAGCCGTAGAATAAGGGTAAAAATAATATTTTATGCTAATTTGTCGAATATACATATACATATAACCATATTAAATGTATGTTCACAACAATTGGTGCCACATCAGATACAGTATCAAGTATATTATAATGATTTACTTAGCTTTAAATCAAATGTTTTTTGTTCAAATGCTCTAGCCAATATCCGGACAGTTCAAAATTTCATGCGATTTCCTATGTTTATAACGACGTTTAACCACCCGGTATAAAATTAATTTGTGGATGCAGTGTAACAATGATGGGAAAGCAATGTACAAAATATTGTACTAAACAAAAAGAGTGTTGAGTATCCCTGTTAACATAGATAAATATTTCAATAAAAAATAAAATAAATATTATAAGTAAAATCAAACGATTATTAATATAGATTAACTCAAAGAGCGCGAATATAATATAAGCGCAGATTTTATCATATTCAAAATTACTATGTACGTGATAATAATACGGTATATGCATTTATTATTAATTCATATGTCATAATTAGTATTATATTACATGTCAGTTTAATTTCATGCAGGTGCAATAAACGACATGATTAATATGAAATATTGACTTAGGCACATTAAAATTACTTATTTGAAATCTTTATCCATCGCTAACAACTAGAGATGTTAACGATTGGTTTAACGATGTTTTTAATGCTGAAATTGAAAAAGAACTTAAGTAAGAAGTATTAGTAGGGGAGCCCAAAAAGCATCGTGAGCAGTGTTGTGACTACCAAAACTGTATTTTTGCTAGATAATTTGGTCAAAATTCGGTAGAAATCGGTAGATTGGGTATTTAACACGTAAGTTTATTAAGACGCGCTAAAAGTAAGTCGTTTTTGAGATATAAAAAGATACTTGAAAAAAATAAACAACGCAAAATTGTATATTAAATATTAATACACAGGATGAAACTCATATATAAATTAATAAATATCGTTCTAGACCCAAAAAATAATAAATTTTCCATGGACGTTCTTGCAAAGCCCATCCGAGTAGGTATACCAAGTGCAATAGAAAATGACATTCTAAATAGAATGACATATTATCATATGTCAACTTTTGACATTTTCGCATATGATTTACTTGGAATACGAACAAAAAAACATTTAAATAAACAGTAATATATTTTATACAGTACGTCTGTCCGTTCTGTAGCTACGGGGTATCCGTGAGAGGGAAAACGATATTCTCTCGATGTTTTTCGTAAAAAATTAGACGACGCATCCCATCAATAAAAAATCGACAAATTTGCAAGTAGCCAATAAAGTGAGTGGGCGGAGCGATTTGCGGTGACGTACTCGTCAAGTCAAGGTACAACTGGAACGCATAGCAGGAAATTATTATATTTAAAATTTGACTGACAAATGATTACTTCAAAATATTGTGAAAAAAACTGTATAAAACTGAAAAAATGTAATCGAGTTATTTAATTTAATAAAAAACGGCATGTGTTAATACAAAACAAACAAGAACAAGACACCACATATCAAAAAAATATAAAAAAGAACTATTTCTTACTTTCAAGTTTTATGAAACTTCCCGCATTTTTGATTATATTTATCAATATAACTTATGTACAAATACAAATTTGTAAAATTCCGCAGGAATAAATAAAACAACATAAATAAAACAAACTATTTTATTATTAATAATACTTACCAAATTTTAGAGGTACCTTAAAGGCTGATTAATTAACTTTAATCTTAATTTTTTAAACCAGTACCTTTGACATTATTTTTCTTGTGCAGTACTAAAATCCATTATTTACGTATCGTGTGATGTCGATATTTTACAGCTACTCCAGTTTTTAGTATGTGTTTAGTATGGTCCCTCTACCATATTCGAGATGCACTTATCTACGACGAGATGGTATACGAACTTTAATGATGGTAACTTTATTGGTGTATAAGACTTTTTGCCCGGGCAGCGAGTATTAACCATAAACTGTGCTCTGGGTCTACAGTTAATTTTCACACGACTTTTCCTCCACTTGACTTCAAAAGACACAAAACACACGTAATAACACAAATCAAAATGCATCATCTTCCAAAACGCAGGGTATTTGACAAAACTGACAAAAGCTGACACAAAATTATAACCTCTAATTTTGCAAGACTTTGACAAGCGTCAAAAATCTAAAGGCGAGTTCATACGCATCGGCGTCCGTTTGTCGTTCAACGTTCCGTCAAACCAATAAAATTGAAATACGATCTGTCATTTTTGAAATAAACCAATAAAACTGGTTAAAAACAACAAGAGACGACGCATGACGGATTTATATTTAAACCCATCCATAGTTAACTTAAAAATTATTAGAAACTTTTTTTAGTAAAATAAATAGATTGGTATGGGACGTCATCTGCTTTTCTTCTGTCATCGTCTGTCGAAATCTTACCTGAGAAAAAAAACAGAGTATACATCTACGAGTAACACATAAAGCGCTCTACTACTAAGGCAAGCTAAAGCAAATAAATCATAATTTAAATTAAAATTACTGTCTAGGATTGTTGATCAAAAAACACTTTGAACTTGTAGACCGAAATGCACACGAAATTCAACAGCGTTGTCACATTTATGCATCCATCTCTTGTTGACTCATTCATATAGAAGTGTTAAAGTATGTACGATTGTAAACAAATAGTATTTTATGAAAGGGTTGTTGTGTCTCCCTTTTAGTTAAAAATTGGTAAATCCCTACTTGAGCTCCCCTACTATATGCATATTCATAAATGCAAACTCGTTTTATTATTAAATAACAGCATATTCACTTTGTATCCATTATATTGATCATATTTTTTTTTTATTTGATTAGGTTGAAATTTATCTAGATCGCTTTCTATTAAAAGAGAAAAGGGCTCTACGAAGTAATAAGTATTAAGTAACAGCGAATTGCTCGGTATGTACGAGATACGCATGAGATACGTTAAAGTAGGTTAGTGCAGCTATATTAAGAATTTCCTGAAATTTTAAATATTTATTTACTCTGTATGGTTTTACATGCCAATTATATACCAACCATTTATACGATTCATAATACAGGATGATTCGAGAAAAATGTCAATGAAAAATGTAAAGTATTTCACAAGAATTTAAACACCGATATTGTTGTTGTAGATTGCATGGAAGGAGGAAAATTAATCCCGGCGGACTTATAGATTGTGTCCCCCTTTTTTGAGTTATAACTCATCATACAGTCTCGGGGCTTTGACAAAAGCCAGTATCTGAGACAGTTTTATTGCACCAATGAAGTTTCGTGCGACTGATAGCTGAGATTTAACCTCTATAAAACCGTCTCAACTACTGGCTTTTGTCAAGCTCTGAGACTAAATGATGAGTTATAACTCGTTATAACTCAAGAAAGGGTGACACACAATAGATATGTAAGGTCGCGGTGATTAACTCCCCTCGCATACATTATTCTACATTCTACAATATATAGATGAAGATCCACCAGGAGAAGATATTGTCCGTGAATTTTGAAAAATATATTTTTTATTTTTGGATATCTAGCATGTTTCTTCTTTTCCAACTTCTTTTTAAAATTTGGTATCAAATATAGCTGATATATTTATGGGATATTAATTTACAAATTTTTATTTTAATTTCAGCTATTTATCCACGTGTCTACTGCGTACGCCTTTCCACACGAAAAGATACTTTACGAGAAACCCTATCCACCTCCGGCTAATCCCAACGAAGTACTGAATGGTTTAAGTTGGATCAGTGATGACGCACTAGAAGGATTTTCAAAAAAGTATGTTAGTATTTATTCATTTTTTTAATAACTTAATTCAAAGTCACTTATAATAGTATATACCGGGTGCGTCTCAAAAGTGGCTCACCCCCTATAACTTTTTTATTTTTTCAGATAAAAAACGAGATTTGGTATGTTAGTATATGACATAAATTAGGATTAATTGACGTATTCAATTGTTTTCTGTCACTTCCGGTTTAGCCGGAAATGGCTACAACTTTTGATTTTTAAATGGCACCCTTGGTATTTTTTTACTTCATTCGATAGAAAATTATATTCTGAATAAAATGACATATCATATGTCAACTTTTGACATTTTTGCTTAAAACAAAATTGAATTTTAAATTTCAATCTAGAGGCTGTGTTAAAACACTAATTTTTAATCAAGAAGCCTTGGAAAAAGAGATTTAATCGTCTAATGTTATTCGTGTCTTGTCCTGGCTGGTTAAAAGATCCCAAATCGTGTTTTTAATTATATTTCAATTTTTTCAAATGGAACGAGTGTGGCTCATTAGCATATTTGATAAAAGCATTTTTTTACGAATAATTTGGTACCACACACTTGGTATTTCGAGTAAAATTGTCGTTATGAATCGCATGTTGCAATTTCTAATAAACCATATTCTAAAATGTCAAAATTGACATATGATATGTCATTCTAGTCAGAGTATCATTTTCTATCAAATAAAGCAACAAAAAACAGAGGGTACCGTTTAAAAATCAAAAGTTGTAGTCATTTCCGGCGAAACAGGAAGTGACAGAAAACAATTGAATACGTCAATCAATCCTAATTTATGTCATATATTAACGTACCAAATCTCAATTTGTTATCTGAAAAAATAAAAAAGTTAGGGGTGAGCCACTTTTGAGACGCACCCGGTATATTCATGTAAAAAAATGTATAAGACAGGCAATAGGTTTAAATTATCTAGAATATATTTTTTATGATATATTAGTATTTTTTTAAATGCATTTTGGTATTTTCTAAGGCTTTAAGATAAAAATAAATGTCCTGATAAATGGATTTGTTTTTGTTTATAATGTCCTAAACATAAAAATAGCATAGCGATATGCCAGACCGCACATTAGCGGTGTCTTACTATAATATTCTTTCATTCTTTGTTAGCGGTTATGTTCAATTTCTGCACGTTAGCGGTTAAATGTTATACCAAATAAGAGCTAAAAAGTAGCAGTCTACAAATTTGCAATTCATTCCTTACCCAAACGCAGATATCTTCGGCAGAATGGCATTTTATTATGAATGTTGCTAGGCATTTCTTTAAGGTTGTATAACATATTATATTCCAAAATTATTATATTCCATATTCCATTATTACAAATATTTGCTAATTTGTTTATTCAATTACAGAATACTTGGAAATTGCCCAAATACGTACACATTTTCCAAAGCCCTTGCTGAGGACCTAGTCAATCAAGAAGTAGGAAAAATGCCAGTAATAATAATACGCCCAGCTGTAGGTAATATATTTGTAGACATTCTATGAATTTAATGAAACGTCTCTGCTTGAATAGTTTAGTAGAATTAAAGTACTTGACCACTCAAAGGGTAGCATGGGTTTCATAGACTATTTTTTATACTAAATAAAACTTAGAGAGTAATATTATGTTTTATTACCCAACAAATATTTATTACAAAAACAATACCCTTTTAATTTGATTTATACTCCAGAAGAATGATAGTAAAATTCTGTAAAAACTATACTATAATATTCTTTGGCCATTAATATCCAAAAATCTGCATATCGTCTTAACTTAAATGTTCTTTTGCTTCTCTTGACAAGGTTTCCTATTTGGAGTTAATACAGTTTTGAATGAGATGTGCGATAATATGTTTCAGCTAGTTAGAATTTTATCAAGACTTTTTATTAAACCAACCAACTTAATTCATCATTTCGTTTTTTTATGTTGATTTAGTTATACCAACATTGGATGATCCTATTCCGGGTTTCTTCAACAATCTCACCAGCCCAATGGGTATTTTCATTGGAGCAGGAAAAGGAGTTATTAGAACGATGTATCTGGACAGCAAATCCTTCGCCAATCTGGTACCTGCAGACTCTACTATAAACGGTACTCTGATATCCATCTGGGACTACTTAACAACAAAGTAAGAAAAAATAACAACGCTATTAAATTGCACTATATACGATATATACGATCGTTAAAAAACGACGTTAAAGACGATTGGGGAATGAAAATCGATGATAATTTTGGCGAGGCCAAGCCCTATTGTGTTAATTTTGACAAGTTTATTTCTAAAACTAAAGCTTTGTCATATAAAAACTCGCTGCAGCCTTTTGTACTTAACAACACCACCATTGACGTCGTAAAATCTGTAAAATTCTTAGGGCTTGTTGTAGACAATTCTCTGAAATGGGACATGCATATCGACGCTTTGTCGAAAAAATTGAGCTCTGCCTGTTTTGCATTAAGATCTGTTTCTAAGGAGCTTAACTTTTCAGTGGCTAGAACTGTTTATTATGCACTTTTTGAGTCGCACCTCAGGTATGCCCTTCCATTCTGGGGTACGTGTTGTGCGACTCAATTTGACCGCATTTTCAAGCTCCAGAAGAGAGCTGTTCGATATTCACTGGGACTAAACAGCAGAACTCATTGCCAGGACTTTATTAAAAAAATTAAAAATATTAACTCTTCCTTCCTTATTTATATTTGAATCCGTTTGCCTAATACGTAAGCATGTATCAGCTTCTCAAGCAAGGCCATCTCACACTTATCCACTCAGGAACGCGGAGCAAGATCTTTATCTACCTACCCCACGCTCAGAGTTAGTTCAATATTATACAACTCGAAAAAAATGCACAATCACCTGCTATTTGAAATTAAATCCATAACATCATTTTCTTCATTTAGCAAAGCATTGAAATCTTATTTATTAGACAAGGCTTTCTACGCCGTAAATGACTTATATTTTGATAATCGAATTTGATCTTGTAAACCCTGGTCTAAAGTTTGCTATTACTATATTTACTATAAACTTACTAAATATTTTTGAATCTTATTTTTATTTTCTTATTCTGTGACATTGTAAACATTTATAAATGTTTATTTTAAACAATAAAACTGACAATGTAATTTGTATACTTGTTTTGTATTCTCTTTTTTCGTTACTGTTTGGTTACCTTTGTCTATAAATTTTTTGACAATAAAGGCATTTATTTATTTATGTCATTTTTAATAAATGACGTCTAGGGATTGACCTCGCCGAAATTATCATTGATTCATACAGTATTAAATCTGTATACGTATTTTATATTTTAGAAAACAATATGTATTTAATCTGTGCGTACCTTTGGAGGATATAAAACTAAACTGGGAAGAAATAGTAGAACTAGGGAAAGACGTAATTTATAACAGGATACCGTTCAATGGTATTCTGTGGTATCCAGGTGGATCGATGACGAAAAGCAAAGCGTGGCACTATTTCAATTTCGTACTTTTTCAAATAATTCCAGCATTTTTTATTGATGGCTTATTGCTTTGCTTAGGATACCCACCAGTGTAAGTATAAATTTGCATATTTTGTGGTAAATTGATAATTAATATTATATTGAGTGGCAAAAAAAGGAGAAAAACCTATACAGGGTGAGTCTTAAATAAATGCAAATATCTTTAGGGGTAGTATATTTCGACCCCAGATTTTTTTTAGTTTTTAGTTAAAAAAACATAATTTTTTGATAATATACCAACATAAGTAGTAGATTAAATTTACAAGAAAACAAAACGGAAAAGATCCAATGGCTCTCAAAATTGAAGGGATTTTCTGGGAAATTTTCAAAATAAAATAACTCGATTATATTGGACTTATTGGAAAAACGGTAAAGAGAAAATATGTTTTCTTTATCGAGATCTACCAGCCCTCAAAATATTTGCACTTATTTAAGACTTACCCTGTATATGCATATCAGAGTTCGATCATTTTTTGCTTGCTGTCTTATGAAGGACTTGGATTTGCACTTAATTAAGACCCTCTATAGATGTTTTTTTTGTCTCCAGTATTAAAAGTAATGTGTTTTGGTATAGTGTGTTTAACTATTGTGTTAATTTGCTTATAATTATTTGGTCTTATTTGGTCCATTTCTAGACTGCTCAAAGTAAACAACAGACTGCACAAAGGACAGGAAATGTTCGAGTATTATACGACAAGGGCATGGTACTTTAAAACAGATTACCTAGTTCATATGAGAAAAAAATTAAATAGCATAGAGAAAAAGTTGTATAAAGTGAGTACATAGTATTAACAAAAAAGTCAGTCTTCAGAGAATATCTACTCAGGCTGACGCACACAGAAAGAGCAAAACTCTTTTAGTCAAAAAGTCAGTTTTTGCCTTTTATAAAAACATTATATCTCGAAGCGAATCAGAATGTTTCATTTGCAATCAAATATTCGCGTCAGCAGATACAAAACAGGCCGTGACTAAAAATGTTTTATCATAAAATGTCGCGCCGATAAGCCTTACTGTGAATAACGAACTTAAAGCTGCCTTCGCTTGCAACTGATCAGTGTGTCCATTTAATTTCCCTTTAAGCATCACAGGAAAATACATTTAGTCAAAAAGTTTTTGACTAAAACGGTTTTGCTTTTGTGCTCTTGCTCTGTGTGCGTCCAGGCTAAAACAACCATTTAATTAGATGTCAAAAGAATTTTTGTGACTTACCTATAGCTTCAATGTATCGGATGTTGTGTTAATAAATATTTATTATAATTATCTATTTTATTAAATTATATATTTTTATAACAATTTTAATAACTACCAACATTTATTCACGACGTAAAATAAAACAACAAATTATTGAGTCTACCCCACGTCTACCCTACATCATACTTTTACATTATTTTTAATAAAATTAGAACGACACTGATAAACCGGAATTTAAGTCGGCCATATTTGAGGCCCATCGCGGTGTACCTAAGATTTTTGATATGCTCCTTCCTTAGTCTTCTTATTCAAAGGTTCGAGATAACTGCGACTCTCGATGCATAACAGCTGATGATATTGACGTTTTTATTATCTTTTAGTTAATTTTGACGTTTGAAATTGCGAAATTTTAAGTAGGTAGTGACATTTTCCCCTAAAACATAAATACAATAATTAATAGTAAGATTAACATTAAAAATACAAATTCAAACACTCCTCATAATTATTATAATGGCCGTGGACAAAGTATAGTATTCAACTCGCAATTTATAGCAATTATTCACTCGGGTGACTTGCGCCCCTCGCCTATGGCTCGTGACTCAAACGTCACCCTGCGTGAATAATGGCTAGCATAAATTGCTCGTATTGCGTATGATCGAAAAAAGTCGTTAAGTTGTCTTGGAAATAAGGCTTATTGACATTCATATTTTACATAAATATGAAGTAACGGCGATCTTCATTTCTAAGCCAACTCTGACGCCGTTTTTTGTTTAATCATATAATAATATATTAAATGGTTTAATGATAGAAAATCCGTATTATTAAAGTACTGTATCCAAAATCCGTAGATCTACGGATTAATCCGTAGTTCTGGCAACACTGTCTCCAGTAACCCTTCACTCTGCCGACTGAAAGCAGAACTACAGTATATAGTTCAGTCATTGGGGATCAAAAAAGGGGCGTGCTTGGAAAAAAGTCCGGAAGTTTTGAAACTTGCAGGTTTATAGGTTTTGGGGTCCCTAACTAAAATCCATAAAATGCACATTCCCAGACTTGCCGCCGGCGCCGCCATCTTGCCAAGATGGCGCCCAAAATCGGTATTTTGTGAATATCTCGAAAACTATGCGTTTTTCGCGAAAAATTGAGGAGAGCAAAATTAAAGACAATAAAATTTCCCATGAAAAAGGTTTTATGGAAATTTCCGCTAAAGTCAACCGTTTAGGCACAAAATCCCTGGAAATTTTAAAATTTTGCGTAAAATATATATTATGAATAGTCGATTTTCCGAAATCAAATGTTGATTAGGGTTCACTAAAATTAGTTTTAGTTCAGTTTCTTCAATTTTGTCATGAAACAGTGGCGTATCATTCATTCACTCATTAATTTATGAATAATTATTTGTCGTGCTAGACAGCATTCATTGCGAACTTACCACCAGGTTCAGCATTGGTCTGGTTGTACCAAAGATGCCGAAGAACGGGGTTGGAAGAAAACAAAAACAGGCATTACTCCAGTCACAACGTTGAAAGATCCAGCTCCAAAATCCCTGTTGGCATTTTTATCCTGTAAATGCAAAACCAATATCTATGGTAAAGCCTGTGGATGCAGAAAAGCAGGATTAAACTGTTCAATGATTTCTGCATACTGCAATGGGAAATCGTGTGACAACGTCACTGAAGTGTCACTCGATGAATCCGATGAAGAGGAGTTGGACTTGCCAGTAGATATCCCTCTGGTGGCTGAAGATTAAGAGTTGGACGTATTGAGAGACCAGCCTGGTTAGCCCAGCACAGCAGACACGATCGACTTTGATATCAATGATCCAGATCCGTCGGGCTTGTGCGGATAAGTTAAAGTTTTTAATTTATCTAGTGGAGTAGGCCTCCGGGGAGACCACGTTAAAATAAACGCGCCATATACTTTACCTCTTGGGTGGTGTGGAAATAAGTACACATTTTCAATAAGTAATTAAAATTAATTATTCATAAATTAATGAGCGAATTAATGATACACCACTGTTTTATGACAAAATTGAAGAAACTAAACTAAAACTAGTTTTAGTGAACCCTAACCGACATTTGATTTCGGAAAATCGACTATTCATAATATATCATATTTTACGTAAAATTGTAAAATTTCCAGGGGTTTTGTGCCTAAACGGTTGACTTTAGCGAAAATTTTCATAAAACCTTTTTAATAGGAAATTTTATTTTCTTTAATTTTTCTCTCCTCTAATTTTCGCGAAAAACGCATAGTTTTCGAGATATTCACAAAATACCGATTTTGGGCGCCATCTTGGCAAGATGGCGGCGCCGGCGGCAAGTCTGGAAATGTGCATTTTATGGATTTTAGTTAGGGACCCCAAAACCTATAAACCTGCAAAGTTGCAAAACTTCCGGACTTTTTTCCAAGCAAAAATCCCCAATGACTGAACTAATAGTATTCTTTATCCATCCGCTGCGCTGTAAAAGACTATCAGCGCGTAGCGGATATATCGGTAACGCCAACTATATCTCGCACATGTTTTGTGTCACGAAATCGCCTATAAGGTTGCGCATCTTTTTATTACTTCAATCAACGCTATGAGTTATTTAATTTTCTCTTAGCTTGCATGACGGCGGCTTCACTGATCAGACACCCGATGGAGAACCTGCACCGCCCACGTGGTACAGTTGGATGGACAACGTTGCCGAATACAAAATAAATATTGACATGAAATACTCTGGTAATTAAATTACTTTAATTAAATTATTTCGGTAGTTTGTACGTATAAATTTAGAGGAAAGTAATTAAATATGGAATAGTAGATATCCCTAATATGGAATACCGCCATTTCTCGGAAACAAATACCTACGTCTAATCCCAAAAGACTGTGATTTTTAATTTCTTTCTCGCATTATACTCAGGTGACTCGTTATTACGCTGCATACGTTTTGATTAGTTTCAAGTGTTTGTTTTATAGTAGTCCATATTTCGGTACTTGTTCTTTATTTAGGCTCCTTTATATTCAGCTTGTTTCTAAGAAAATTTTGTACTTACTTACTTGTCTGAAAAGTGGCTCACCCCTATAACTTTTTGATTTTTCCAGATAAAAAAACGGGATTTGGTATGTTAGTATATGGCATAAATTAGGATTGACTGACATATTAAATTGTTTTTGGTCACTTCCTGTTTCACCGGAAATGACTACAACTTTTGATTTTTAAATGGCACCCTCGGTATATTATTATTTATTCGATAGGAAATGACACTCTGAATAAAATGACATATTATATGTCAACTTTTGACATTCTCGCTTAAAAATAAATTGTATTTTAAATTTCAATCTAGAGAGCCATTGCTGTGTTAAAAACACTAATTTTTAATCAAGAAGCCTTGGAAAAATCGATTTGATCGTCTAATGATTTTAGTGACGTGTCCCAGTGGTCGGTTAAAAAATGCCCAAATCGTATCTTTAATCATATCTCAATTTTTTCAGATGGAACGAGGGTAGCTCATTAGCATATTTGGAAAATGCATTTTTTTACGAATAATTTGGTACCACACACTGGTACTTCAAGTCAAATTGTCGTTATGAACTGCATGTTACAATTTCAAATAAACCATGAAATGTCAAAAGTTGACATATGATATGTTATTCTATTGAGAGTGTCATTTTCTATCCAATAAAGTAACAAAATACCGAGGTATTTAAAAATCAAAAGTTGGAGTCATTTCCGGTAAAACAGGAAGTGACCGAAAACAATTGGATACGCCAATCAATCCTAATTTATGTCAAATACTAATATACCAAATCTGGTTGTTTTATCTGAAAAAATTAAAAAGTTATAAGGGTGAGCCACTTTTGAGACGCACCCGGTATATGTAACTGTATGACTAATAATAACTAAGAATAAAAACGTTGATAATATAATTTGTATATAACACAAAAACCTTTGACACAAACAAAATGGTTTTCCATATATGGTTACTTTTCTCTACTATTCAATAAAAACTGAAACTGTTTTTAAGATATCGAAATTCCCACTATCGATAACGTAAGGAACGCCTGGATGGTGGGAGCGATTTTGTTGAACGAAGACAATGCCTTGTGCGTGGGCCCAACCGGCACGGGTAAAACTTTGACAGTTATTGGAAAACTCAGCAAGAACATGCACAAGAAATTTATATGTGATTTTATCAATTTCTCGGCTAGAACAACAGCAAACCAAACACAAGTAATAACACCATATTAACTTTATTTTTCATGGATTAATTTTACAAAACAGATATTAAAATGTCTATACCTTATATAAAGTAACTTTGTGGCAGCATCATTTCTTGAAAACTTCTCTTAAGAGTCCATTTCACTAGTCCGAAGAAGTAGGAAAATAAGCGTTCGGCATTTAACGTTTTATGTAAAACTGGCTAGGTATTTTCACATAAATGAAGAAGGAAATTAAAGATAAATATATCCGTATTGTAGCACGTTTTTAGACAACTTCTTTATTTTTAAGATTTTGATGGTCAAACATCAACAAAATATTCCCTATGTTTGGACTAAATTTTCTCGAAAATTAAGCCATAACTTAAAATTCCGTTACAATATGGAAATAGATTGAAATATATTTCCTTCGGCCACACATCCGCTTTACCCGACTCCTGAGAGCGACCTCCCGAAAGTACAGGGTGGGTCAAATTCGACGCTTTTAAATGGAAACAGCCTTTTCTATAGGAGATAGACAAAAACTAATATCGGTGTCTGGAGCTCAATTTTTGTCAAAAACATGATGGTGAAAACCGCATACCGATATCTGTTACCGTTTCGGAGTTACGGGGTGTTTTTCAAAAATATGCATGTAACTTTTTTACTATGGAAAATTTTGTATTTTTATGAAAACATTTCCAAAGCACCTTTTTACGTAGAATTTAATGGTTTAAGTATAATTTTTTTAAAATTAATAATTTTAGAATTATCAACAGAGAATTTGATTTTTTATATGGGACACCCTGTATATTTTTAATTTATTGAAAATAATTTAAAATTACCTTTCCAAAAATATAACACACTTGATATTTTTCTCGATTCCTCTTCGAGATATAGAGTATATAAAAGTTCGCTCGCTTTAAATAAGTAGGCTTTGAATGGCACCGGCTGTAATTCAAAAAAATTCTAGCTGTGAGCATCAATTAAAATGAAAATAAAATATTTGCTATGAGAGATGCAGAATTTTATAACAATTTAAAATATATTTAACCAACATCAATACATTTAAACTATATCTGATAACAATAAAAATAAATAGCAAACCAAGACATGAGATTTTGCTACAGGTGTTTGACATATCGACCGTCTTCTGTTATGGACAGACGGGGCCGTTTTTGAACATTATAACTGCTAAGTATTTCTAATTCTTGTCTAGATTATACAGAAGAATAAGGAACCTTTATTCTTCCGCAAATATATCCATAGGGTTAGATCCATGAGCACTAAGTCAGGCGGCCTCGACGGCCAACGGCTGGGATCTTGGTTAGCTACTCAATTATTCTTGAAATTGGCTCCAAAAATTTGCTGATAACATCTGCGTTCTGTGGCGGTGCGTCGTCTTGCTGGAAAAATATGTTTTCGAGTTCCTTTAAGGGCATATCATCAATAAGGGGTCCAAAGCCTATACTAGTTAAAAGTGGCAAACTTTGAAAAATTCTGTATTTCGAAGGGGATTATAACAAAATATCAAGTGTGCTCTATTTTTGGAAAGGTAATTTTAAATTCTTTTCGGTTAATTAAAAATATAGAGGGTGTCCCGAACAAAAAATAAATTTTTCTGTTGATAACTCTTAAATTATTAATTTAAAAAAAAATATACTTAAACCATTAAATTCTACGTAAAAAGGTGATTTGAAAATGTTTTCATAGAAATACAAAATTTTCCATAGCAAAAAAGTTACAGGGATTTGTTAAAAATGCACATTTTTGAAAAACACCCCGTAACTCCGAAACGGTAACAGATACTGATGTGCGGTTTTCACCATCATGTTTTTGATGAAAATTGAGCTCCAGACACCGATATTAGTTTTCGTCTATCTCCTATAGAAAAGGGTGTTTCCATTTAAAAGCGTCGAATTTGACCCACCCTGTACAGCGTAATAGACTCCTAACACAAGTCAAATCAAAAAGGCAATTTGCTGCATAGAAAACGTGAATCCGCATAAAAAATTGTCTCAACTGTAATGTCCAACGTACAGCCTCGCTACAAAAAGTATCATTTTTACTCCTATATTATAATAAAACAATATACTATTACTACTTTCAAAATTTAATTTTTTTATATTTATAATTTATTGACGATACATTAAAAAAGGATCTAAATTATAATATAATAAAGGGATAAGTTAACCTTTGTACCAAAATATTAACGAATCAAGATATTATGTCTGAAAATTTCAATAAAATAATACTAATTGGAGTATTTTTCTAAATAGTTATGGCAGTTAAATTGAAAAAAATATAATAGACTTTGATATTATTACTAAATATCTGAAAGTTTAATAAATGAAAAATACGCGGAAAAAGATAAAGAACTTCTCTTCACTGAAAAAACATTTCTGCTTTTATCTTTATACTTATTGATATTGATGATGTTCAATACCCAACTGTCAATAATAAAATCATATTTATTTTTGTGATTGGTTATAATAATGAAAAATGTGTTCATTTTTCAATTTTTTATATCAAACCAAAGAGACTACAGTGATATTACATTATTATTAGGCAGCATATTAAAATAAGTAAAAAAGTTCGTATAAATGTATGTTCTAAAATGCTTAGTTTTGATATAGGGAGTAGAGTTGAAGATATAGGGAGTAGAAATTTAATTTTTATTTCGATTTTTTCCAAATAATTTGTGAAGTAACGTCAATATTTGGATAAAATTGGTGTTTGGGAATTTTTTGACATGAGAAATTTGATTTTGTTGTCAATAAGACTCCTATTTGTAGGGGGCGCCACCTACATGTGTTTCAACTGTAAAGAGTAATAACTTTTCGTCTGTTTCTGTTTTTTTTTTACTGCCATAACTACTGAGTGAAAAATATACAATTCCGTGACTTTTTACGTAAAAAATGTCTCTTGGTAAAAATCTCTACGAGCAACCGTTCTCAAGATATTTAGAATGGAAATGCTCAAGATATGTCATTATTGGCAAAATATAAACACGTTGAGAGAGAGTAGATAGTTATTTGACTGAAATAATAAATTTGGGAAATTTTATTATATTTTTAAATTAATCATAAAATTTTCTGCGAAAAAGTGATGATAAAACAGTTATTGTTGAACTTTTGGCACAAAAACTTTAAATTTATGATTTCAGTCTAATAACTATTTAGTCGACATGTTTAATTTATGTCAGTGATGATAGGTATTGATAATTTCTATTCCAAATATCTCGAGAACCATTACTTCTAGCGATTTTTAACAAGAGATCCTTTTTATTTAAAAAACATCGTAGATATATATTTTTTTATTCAGTAGTTTTATACAGGTACAGATGAAAAGTTATTATTTCTCAAATCAGTTAAAAAAATATGTAGGTGGCGCTCTCTACAAAGAGGAATCATGTTCGCATCAAAATCAAATTTCTCATGTCAAAAAACTTCCAGACACCAATTTTCATCCAAATATTGACGCACTTTAGGCATACATTTATACAAACTTTTTTACTTATTAGCCGACCATACCAATAGGTATGGTAGCATCACTCAAAATGAGTTATTTGGGTCATAAATGACCTAAATACAAAATTTTTTCGTGGTGTCCGTCCGTATGTCCGTCTGTAACACGATAACTCAAAAACCGCTGAACCGATTTTAACCAAATTTGGCACAAAAATACTGTGGCACCCGAGAATCTGGCCATTAGTTTTTGGTGGGGGTGGGGGGTTGGTAAGGGGGTATAGGAGGGGGTTAAAAATTATAAAAAAGTAACTCCAAAATTACAGTAGCTAGCGAAACGCGGTTTTCAAATTAATATTACTAATAATATTTGCAACAAAATTTGTAATAACATCAAAATCAGTCAAAGTTGCAGTTTTCGAGATATTAACATATTTTAGTATGGGCGGCTATACGTGTCTCCCAGCGCCAATTTTGTTTATCTGCAGAATACGCTGCTGAAGTTTCTGGAATACTTTCGGACCACCCTGTATTTTAGATTAACTCTATTTAAACTAGTAGTGAGAACTATCGAATGAATACTATCGAAACATTCGATAGTTGCAATTCATTCGAATAATTCGATAGCTAGTAAGAAAACATTCGTCGAAAACTATTCGAATAAAAATTATCGAATAGATGCGTCATCTGCCTTGCAATATTGTATTCTAGTAATTCGGCAGCAAAAACCATTCATTTATAAAATTCATTCATTTATCAAATTCATTAATTCGTCAGGATCGATTTTAATAAAATATAAACTGGATTTTAGTTGTCGTCCGGCGACGTAGGTTTCTTTCCTAGAAACCCGACAGCAGTCGGTGGCAATGCTATGAAAGAAGCCGGCATCTTTTTGATTTTTTGCGGAGTCTAATAAAGATAAGGACACATTATTTTTTTTATTGAGGTGCTAGTATTTACACAGAAAATACATTATGAAGGGCGCTGTTGCCATATATCCGTATTAGTTGGTATTAGCAAAGAATATTTTTCTTTAGCATTAGTTAGTTAGGGATAGTATGTCAATATGTTTTGCATTTTTTTATTAATATTCTGTTGTTACACTGCAATAATACTTTTTATTTTGGATGTAGGAAAATGATTTTTAATGTTTTTAAGCAAAGACTGGTTTAATAAATAATAATAACACTAATAATTTGTTATACAAAATTTAAAATAATTTAATAATATAAACATTTTTTTTAAGTAGTATCAAAATATAAACAACAAATAGAAGTCAAAAGTATTTATATTAGATCCTATTTAAAAATAATATAGTCTCTAAATGGCAATGTTGGCTTATTAAATAATAATAATTACAGAACTAATTTGTTATATTAACAACAAATTTTAAAATCATGAAATATAAACATTTATTAATTTTCTAAGCATGCAGTGTAATGGAAGGAAAATATAAATAAAAAATTAGAAATCAGAATTATTTATATTACTTTTTATTACTTTATATTTACTATTTAAAAATAATATTTACTTTTACTGGCATTTACTTTAAAAAATAAATGAAATATTTCTTCGCAAAAAACTACATGTAAGAGAATTAGCATAAATAAAATACAAACATTGTTAACTTTTTTTTTTTAAATTGGCACGTGTAAAACTTTCAATTTAATTTTCTCACCCCAAAATTTGAGTTTGATAACCATTTACTTAACCACATTACTTAAATATGATGATTAAGTTCAACTAATTCATATTATTAAAACATCTAAAATACAAATATGTATTTTTAAAATTAATTGTAAGTTCATCTCATCTCTTTTAAAAATTGCTACTTCTCAAAATTTCCCATTAAAAAATGTAATCTAATCTAACCATAATATACCATATAAAATTAAATAATTGAAAGATCGGGCTACGGAAAATCACACAAATTTTCGAAAAAATTTTGACCACTTCGCACACAATCGTCAATTAAAAAAAACAATCAATTAATAAACGCAAAAATAGCATAGTATTTACAAGGCGAAGTTATAAAAATTTGGAAGAATTAATAATGCACTGACGCACACAAAAATCAAACGAATACTAAATTTCATTTATCAAAAGCATTCGATAGTCGTGGCTCGTGGCGCAACGATAACCATTTAGTCGCACGGCGAGGTTGTCACATATGCTTTAGTATACAAATGAATGAATGATTTTATTCGAATAAAACCATTCGATAGTTGAAATCATTCATTCAGTAACCATTCGATAATCTAATTCATTCGATAGTTCCCATCGCTAATTTAAACTAATTAATTAACCCTACATATTTATTTAAAGGACTTAATAGACTCGAAACTAGATAGAAGAAGAAGAGGAGTATTTGGACCTCCTGTCCTAAAAAGGCAGGTGTTTTTTATTGACGACTTTAATATGCCAGCCTTGGAAGTCTTCGGTGCACAGCCACCGATAGAGTTAATCAGACAATGGATGGATTTTGGTGGTAAGTTATACGTAATAATAAAAAATATCTATACCTCGGATTCATCTCTTCAAAAAAGTCTTATGGGTATTTCGCCAGTGTAAGAATAAGAAAATCTACAAAATAAAATAGTTATTTTTTGTAAACACTGCTGTGTTAATCCAACGGAGACAAGCTTGCCAGCAGTGATTAACTAATAAACAAATTTATCTAACGGGCAAAAAAATGCTTAACGTTTCGGAAGGATATCTCTTCACGTGCGTTGTCGGAAGCAAAAAATCACAAAGTCCCCATCCTCCCATTCAAGACATGATATGATTTTTGTTCATTATAAACTATCATCTGACATAGATTTAATAATGACCTACAAAAACATAGTGAATAATAATATCGGTGATTGCTTTGCTTGTGGGAGATAAATAAATAAATAAATGCCTTTATTGTCAAAAAATTTTACAATTTGTAGACAAAGGTAAAGTAAACAAACAAAAGAGAATACAAAACAAGTATACAAATTACATTGTCAGTCTTATTGTTTAAAATAAAGATTTATAAATGTTTACAATGTCAAAGAATAAAACTAATATTTAAAAAATATTTAGTAAGTTTATAGTAAATATAGTAATAGCAAATATTAGACCAGTGTTTACAAGATCAAATTCGATTATCAAAATATAAGTCATTTACGGCGTAGAAAGCCTTGTCTAGTAAATAAGATTTCAGTGCCTTGCGAAATGAAGAAAATGATGTTACGGATTTGCTTTCAAATAGCATCAGATGATTGTGCATTTTTTTCAAGTTGTATAATATTGAACTTTTAACTAACTCTGAGCGTTGGGTAGGTAGATAAAGATCTCGCTCCGCGTTCCTGAGTGGGTAAGTGCGAGATGGCCTTTCTTGAGAAGCTGATACATGAGTACTGCTATTTAGTCTCAGTGAATATCGAACAGTTCTCTTCTGGAGCTTGAAAATGCGGTCAAATTGAGTCGCACAACACGTACCCCAGAATGGAAGGGCATATCTGAGGTGCAACTCAAAAAGTGCATAATAAACAGTTCTAGCCACTGATAAGTTAAGCTCCTTAGAAACAGATCTTGATGCAAAACAGGCAGATCTGATTTTCTTCTAAGTTACTAATTTTTAATAAGTAACGAAGATTTTCACTGCCTCCTGGACTATTATGATGGATTGAGGAAGTAGAAACAAAATGATTGAGTTTCAGATATATTTCTGGCACGTCTCTTGAACTTAATGATTTTGTTATAAATTTATTATATTTAGAATTAATAAATACAATACAAATGTTGTGTCGTTGTAATATGCTGTAGGCATGTTGAATATCACCAATTTAAAGTTTTAAATTGAAATTATTATTCATGGAAAATATTTTACAGAAATATTAATAATTAATTAATTAACTTATTCTTTTGTTTTAATTTGTGAACATTATAATCGTACACCGCCATATGTTCAAATTATAATTGAAATAAAGTTTTAAAGTGTGTTTATGCAGTCTGTATAATTTGTACAGTGTGGGTCAAATTCGACGGTTTTACATGGAAACGCCCTTTTCTATAGGAGGTAGACAAAAACTAATATCGGTGTCTGGAGCTCAGTTTTTGTCAAAAACATGATGCTGAAAACCGCATATCGATATCTGTTACCGTTTCGGAGTTACGGGGTGTTTTTCAAAAATATGCATTTTTAACAAATCGCTGTAACATTTTTGCTATGGAAAATTTTGTATTTTTATGGAAACATTTCCAAAACACCTTTTTACGTAGAATTTAATGGTTTAAGTATAATTTTTTTAAAATTAATAATTTAAGAATTATCAACAGAAAATTTGATTTTTTATATGGGACACCCTGTATATTTTTAATTTATTGAAAAGAATTTAAAATTACCTTTCCAAAAATATAACACACTTGATATTTTGCTCGATTCCTCTTCGAGATATAGAGTATATAAAAATTCGCCCGCTTTAAATAAGTAGGCTTTGAACGGCACCGGCTGTAATGCATAAAAATTCTAGCTGTGAGCATCAATTAAAACGAAAATAATATTTGCTATCAGAGATGCAGAATTTTATAACAATTTAAAATATTTTTAACAACATCAACACATTTAAACTATATCTAATAACAATAAAAATAAATAGGAAACCAAGACATGAGATTTTGCTACAGTGCTTCTGTTATGGACAGACGGGGTAGTTTTTGAACATTTCTCGCGGAATTCATTAACTCAGTCGGGGTGAAAGACACCCTCTCATAACTGCTAAGTATTTCTAATTTTCGACTAGATTAAACGGAAGAATAAGGAACATAGGATTAGACCATGGATACTAAGTCAGGCGGCCTCGACGGCCAACGGCTGAGATCTTGGTTAGCTATTCAATTATTCTTGAAATTGGCTGCAAAAATTTGCTGAGAACTTCAGCGTTCAGAGGCGGTGCGCCGTCTTGCTGGAAAAATATGTTTTCAAGTTCCATTAAGGGCATATCATCAATAAGGGGTCCAAAGCCTACTAGTTAAAAGTGGCGAACTTTTAAAAATTTTGTATTTCGAAGGGGATTATAACAAAATATCAAGTGTGCTATATTTTTGGAAAGGTAATTTTAAATTCTTTTCAATAAATTAAAAATATACAGGGTGTCCCATATAAAAAATCAATATTTCTGTTGATAACTCTTAAATTATTAATTTTAAAAAAGTTATACTTAAACCATTAAATTCTACGTAAAAAGGTGCTTTGGAAATGTTTTCATAGAAATACAAAATTTTCCATAGCAAAAAAGTTACAGCGATTTGTTAAAAATGCACATTTTTGAAAAACACCCCGTAACTCTGAAACGGTAACAGATATTGATGTGCAGTTTTCACCATCATGTTTTTGATGAAAATTGAGCTCCAGACACCTATATTAGTTTTTGTCTCTCTCATATAGAAAAGGGTGTTTCCATTTAAAAGCGTCGAATTTGACCCACCCTGTACAGCTCTAGGGTAATATAGCAAAAAACAAACACTTGTAATTTCCAGTTAGAATTAATTATGCAGTTCAAAAATGACAAATAGCACAATTAGTTTCCGCAATTACAAGCATACATCGCTCTACCGGGTGCGTCTCAAAAGTGGCTCACCTCTATAACATTTTTATTTTTTCGGATAAAAAAACGAGATTGTGTGTTAGTATATGACTATTATATTAAAACTAAATTAGGGTTGATTAAGTTTGATTAGGGTTGATGAGGTATTCAATTGTTTTTGGATACTTCCTGTTTCACCGGAAATGATAAAACTTTTGATTTTTAATTGGCACCGTCGGTATATTTTTACTTTATTTGATAGAAAATGACACTGACAAAAAATCGTATTTTAATTTTTAATCTGTGTTATAAACACTATTATTTTTTAATCAAGGGGCCTTGGAAAAATAGATTTGATCATCTATTGTTTTTCGTGTCTTGTCCTGGCCGGTTAAAAGATACCCAAATCGTATTTTTGATCATATTTCAATCTTTTCAAATAGAACAAGGGTGGCTCATTAGCATATTTGGAAAAAGCAGTTTTTACGAATAATTTGGTACCACACATTTGGTATATTTCGAGTTAAATTGTCGTTATGAACCACGTTAGAATTTCGTTATATTTGGAATTGGCATTTACAATTAATACTAGTTTTTTTAAAAAGTTTTTCTAGTAATTCTTTAAAAAGTTTTAAATAAATTTTTCTCTAAAATAAACTGGGGAAAACTTATTTATCATTTTTAAAATTTACATGGGATTTCCTATGTCCAGGTTAGCGGTGGAACACACGGTATACCTACATTTGTGATAATATACCCCGACATTAGAGCGTCCGTTATTTCCCAAGTTGATTTTTTTTGCTGCCGCCCTCTGAAGTTTTAGTTTTTGGTCTAAAAAAGATTATCCAACGTAAAGAAGCTCTAAATTTTTAAATTAAACCGTGCCGGAATCATGATACTTTTCCCATTTGAATAACATGGGATTCCTGACCATTTGCATTTAATTTTTTATCTGCAAAGCAAATGAACCTACTGCTTCGACAAAGACATATTCTAATACAAAATTTTATGCTCTACAAAAAAAAGCTCTTTAGTTTTTTCCATAAAACCATTCCTTTAAAAGTCATTCGCGGTCAAAGTTATGCACATAGTTTATAATGATATTTTTCTATCATTCACTGCAAATTTCAATTGCGTCTTTTGATTTTGACTAAAAAAGGATCTAGAGCCATACTTTTTTCAATAAAACAATATTTCTTTACAGACTTTAATATGGAAAACTAATATTGTGCCATCTATGATCAATTTTTCATAACTATAATTTAAGTTTATTGTTTCATTGCCTTTCAGTGTTCGTAAATATGTGTGTCAATTGAAAAGAGTGAACAAATTTCGAGTGGTTTTTTATCTTAAATAATACCCAAGCAGCATTTGGACGTCGGGACAACGTTGTGTCACGCGACCAAACGTCGGGGCGCAACGTCGGCACAACCTCTTGCCAACCCTAGTCTGCACTAGTTTGGAGAATAATTTTTGGGTCGAAACGACGTTGGATACCGACGTTGGCTAGAAGCCTAATTTAGTACAAACTGCAACGTTGTTTAAAATCCTAATTCACAGAAATACAAAACTAATATGGCGTCTAAGTCGCGTTTTATCCTAAATTGGGATAATTTTAGTAAAAATATTACTTTTATGATTTAGTTAGAGACATATGTCAGATGGCAGTGAAGGAAAACAAAACAAAAGTATTTAAGTGTGGAGGATGTTTGAAGATCATAATTATTGAAACACTTTAACCGACTCTGTAACTCGTTACCCAAGGCAAAAAGCTAAACGCAAACAACTTTATTGATAAATGTATTGTTTCTACTTTGAAAAATACTAATGGGCCTTAAAATTAAAGAAGTTTTAAAAAATTTCTTGAATTTTTTTTTAGTAAAATGAGAATAATTTATTCGCAGTCGAAAAAATTGTTTCCGCGTGTTTTTTAGGGTCAAATATTTCAAGTTAATGTATTCAAAAAGCAGGAATTGCTATTTTAGGAACGAAACATTTTCTTATTTAACAACATGGCGGCTCTCACTTTGTTGTTTTGGAGATTAAGATGGAGTAGTTAGAGTAGTCGCATACTGGACTAATAAAGTCGCAGTTCGGCCTTAACAGGTAGTATACTAGTCGCAAGATTGCCTAATTTAGTCATCCTAGAGTCTAGCTTGTGCCGCCCTCTATAATATAAATAAACGAGGGAGTGGATAAACTATCGGTAATATATGTCGATGTATATTTAAATTTAGTTTTATATGTACCTTTCTTATGTCCCATTTTAATTAAGTTTTTTTTATAAAAACAAAAACAGCACTGAACTGTCTGACTGAACAGAACAATGAAATGAAAATTTAAAATTTAAGGTTATGGTTCAATACAGTTGCAAAAAGGTAGTGACTCGACGTTCTACCAACGTAAGAATAAGGAAATCTAAACAACGTTGGAATTAGTAAAACAGACGACGTTTGCATAACGTTGGAATAGGTCCTGAAACTGACGTCGGAAAACTCTATATTGTCCAACGTTGTAACTACGTTGTCCGAATCACCTAAAGATCACTTAAGCAAAAAGGTTACAAGACAACGTTTATTCGACGTCGCAGAAGCTTCCTACTTTGCTGTAGTACTAGTCCAACGTCGGCACAACGTTATAAAAACGTTTAAATTTATTTTAATACCCAAGGTAGGGAGCTAACTATTTTTTGTAACTAATCCAACGTTGTGATTAGTAAACATGTGGTCGCAAGTCGTGAAAATGCTACTTGGGTACTTGTATCGAATTAATTAAATTAAATTATTAGTTAATTTAATTAAATTGGTAATTAATTAAATTAAATCAGTAATTAATTTAATTTAATTTAATTATTACCTAATTAATTAAATGTTAATTAATTAAACTAAATAATTAATTAATTAACTTAATTTAATTAATTCGATACATGTAATATGTGACATAAAAACCACTCGAAATTTGTTCATTCTTTTCAATTGACACACATATTTACGAACACTGAAAGGCAATGAAACAATAACCTTGAAATAAAGTTTCGATCAATTGATAGATGGCATAGAATTAAAAATTAAGAGCTTGTTTACGTTGGATATTTTTAGACCAAAAATTAAAACTTCAGAGGGCGGCAGCAAAAAAAAATATGGGGAAACTTGGGAAATAACGGACACCCTAAATGAAAACTTCTTCCTCATTTAGGATGGTATGATAGAAAAAATATTGGAGATTTCCGCACGATAATTGACGTTAACTTTGTCGCTGCCATGGGACCACCTGGGGGTGGTAGAAATCCTGTTACTGCCAGATTATTACGGCATTTCCATTATTTGGCTTTCATCGAAATGGAAGAAGCAAGCAAGGCATAATATTTATAAATTCTATATTTATGGTACAATAATAAATCGTAATTCTATTTTTAGAGGAAAATATTTGGTAGTATCCTGAAATTTTGGCTAGGCAGAACGGCAAATATGCTACAATATTACGAATCGATTTTAACTTCTACTTTAATAGTTTACGATACAATACTGAAAGAATTGTTGCCCACTCCTGCTAAAACTCACTATACATTTAATTTAAGAGATTTGAGCAAAGTATTCCAAGGAATTCTTATGTTCGAACCTTCTACCCTTGAGGTAATCAGTGTGTATAAGCGATACCAATTAAACTTTTAGTTACGTAATCGAGGGCGCGATTTTTAAATTCATTGTTGCCAACCATGGAATATTCGGCGCCGGGCTGACTAACTGGAATCTAAATTTCCCGCTGAGGATTCAGGTGGTAGCTCTGCTGTAAAAAATGTCAAGTTGCTACATTTATTTATTTCCTGACATTGCCATTTGTTTTGACATTTTAGTTTTGTATTACGAGTTTTTAGTTTCAGTGTGTTGTGTTGTGATACTTTAAGCTTAAATATCTTTACTAGCAGACCTTGCAGGCGAACATTGTTCTTTTTAGAACCTCTCTTAGTGCGAAGTGGTACAAGATAGCTTAATAGCCGTAAAAACTCATCGCAACTTTATTCGAATATTTTTAACATGAAAGCGGTAGTAATGGTTCTTCATGCATCACTTAAGGAGGTGAGCTTTGTTGATGGTAAATAATAACTGTTTATATATTTATAATTAACTATCGTGTACCAGCGACTTCGTTCGCGTCGAATTAATAATTTGTAATGGTGATGATAAAGCAAAGCAAGAATTTCCATTAACATAAAAACTAGATAAAATTTTCTTACATTTATGTCAGTATGAGAAAAAACAATATGGCGATATTATTATATAACTTGGTAATATTTAAGGGGTCGTTTCATCTCGTTGGAATTTGACTTTCGAAAAATCCGTTTGCCAAAAATAAGCTTTTTACGTCAAGCAGTTTAAGCAGAATCGTGGTTAAGAAATTACCCAACTTTTTGGAACACCCTGTATGATTTTTTAAAAAAATTCAAAATATGTAAAAATACAAAATAAATTATGCTTGTCCAAGCGTTTTCCCGTAAGACTAACCGTTTTTTAAATAACAAATACTGTAATATTTGAGGGGCGTTTTCACCCTCTTGGAATTTGAGATTCGAGAAACCTATCCTTATCGAACCTCTACACCCCACAGTCAATCCGTTTGCCAAAAATCAGCTTTAAACGTCAAGCAATTTAAGCAGAATCGTGATTACTCATTGGTCATATTTTATGAAACACCCTGTATAAATTTATAAAAAATCTTAAAGTATAAACAATAACAAAAGCCACATACAACAAGCAATAACAAAATAAAATATACGTGTTTAAGAGTTTTTCCTAAAAACTCACCGGTTTTTAAATAAAAAATATTTTAATATTTGAGGGATAGTTTCACCCTCTTAGAATTCGAGTTTCGAAAAATCCCTTCTTATCGAACCTCTACACCCTAAAGTCAAGTTAAAAAATCTTAAAATATGTAAAAAAAACAAAATAAAATATACGTGTTTAAGCGTTTTTTCGGAAATTTGACCGTTTTTTAAATAAAAAATATTGTAATATTTGAGGGGTGGTTTCACCCTCTTGGAACTGGAATTTCGAAAAATCCCTTCTTATCGCACCTCTACACCCTAGAATCAACCTGTATGCCAAAATTGAGCTTCTTACATTGAGTGGTTTGAGCAGGATCGTGATTAATCAGTATGTCAGTCACTTAAGGATTTTATATATCAGTATAGATTTTTGTTTCCTAAAATATTTCGATTAAAAGAAAATATGTAAAAGCGGGTAACGCCGTGCCGGTCAAGCTTAATCACGTGACTAAAAGTTTATTTGGTATGTACTGTACAGAGTGGTCCGAACTGTATAGTTCGGAAACTTTATTCCGCAGATAAAAGGAAGCCTATTCCGCAGATAAAAATAAGTAAAAAAGTTCGTGTAAATGTATGTCCTAAGATGCTTAGTTTCGGAGATACAGGGTGTAGAAGTTTCATTTTCATTTCGATTTTTTCCAAATCATTTCTGAAGTAACGTCAATATTTGGATGAAATTTGGTGTTTGGAAGTTTTTTGATATGAGAAATTTGATTTTGAAGTCAATATGACTTCTATTTGTAGGGGGTGCCACCTACACGTGTTTTAACTGTTTTGAACTTTGAATAAGAAGACTAAGGAAGGAGCATATCAAAAATCTTAGGTACACCGCGATGGGCCTCAAATATGGCCGACTTTAATTCCGGTTTATCAGTGTCATTCTAATTTTATTTAAAAAATGTAAAACTATGATGTAGGGTAGACGTGGGGTAGACTCAATAATTTGTTGTTTTATTTTACGCTGTGAAGAAATGTTGGTAGTTATTAAAATTGTTATAAAAATATATAATTCTAATAAAAATAGATAAGTTATAATAAGTATTTATTAACACAAAGATCCGATACGCTACTGAAGCAGGTCAGTCAAATTAACGTATCTAAATTCTTTGACATCTAATCTTTGACAAGTAATAAATAAAAGCTAAAATGCAAGAAAAATATATAATTTAGTTAATTTAAGTGAATTTCATAAATGATCGGTTTACTACACGTATGTATATTATATAGTTACTTACTAGCGAAAAGTTGTTCCATTATTTCACTCAATTTTTGCCGAGATCTACCGTACGCTACACAACCAACTATTTTAGAGTCTTTTTCGATAAATCGCGATAGTGTCACTGTTAATTTAAGTTCTGCCAAAATTTCCATCTAGATTTACTACCTTTATACAACTATCAGTAGTAGAATAAATAATAAATAACATAAAATAAGCTCCGTAAAGACTGACAAATCCACAAAATTTCAAATCAAATTCAAATGTGCCAAATGAATCGTCAAACAGAACTGTCAAGGATCCCCACCCTAGAGTGCTTTTTCCGCCCACCATGCATGAATACATGGATAGCATTATGCTCCTTCCTTAGTCTTCTTATTCAAAGGTTTTGAAGAATAATAACTTTTCGTCCGTACCTGTCTAAAAGTACCGAGTGAAAAAATATACATTTCCGTGACTTTTTACGTAAAAAATGTTTCTTGGTAAAAGTCGCTGCTAGTAACCGTTCTCAAGATATTTAGAATGAAAATAGTCAATACATGTCATTATTGACAAAAAATAAACATGTTCAGTAGATATATAGTTATTTGACTGAAATAATAAATTCGGGAAATTTTTATTTTTTTTTAATTATCGTAAATTTTTCTGCGAAGAAATGATGATGAAACAGTTCAGCTGCTCCATTCCAAAACACAGTAACCAACATTTTTTCAGAAATTAGTTTTTTACATATAATAATATATATACTGTGTTTTTCTCTATGTTTTAACCTGGCCTATTTTTTGATAGCTGTAAGACATTCGGAGATATGACGTACCCAAAACCTAGTATCTACACATTTTTAATACACTGCAAAAGCCAACTAAAAAAACTAGAGAACGTTTTTCTCACAAGTTTGTTTTCTACACATACTGTGTTTTGGAATAGAGCAGCCGAGTTTCTGTTGAACTTTTGGAACAAAAAAAATTGAAATTTAATATTTCAATCCAATAACATTTGTCAACATAATATGTTTAATTTATGTCAATGATGACAGGTATTGATAATTTCGATTCCAAATGTCTCGAGAACCATACTCGTAGCGATTTTTCATAAGAGACCTTTTTTACGTAAAACATGTCATAAATGTATATTTTTTTACTCAGTAGTTTTATACAGGTACGGATGAAAAGTTATTATTCTTCAAACATGTTAAAAATATGTAGGTGGCGCCCTTTACAATTAGGAGCCATATCGACATCAAAATCAAATTTCTCATGTCAAAAAAACTCCCAGACTTCAATTTTCATCCATATATTGACGTTACGTCATAAATTATTTGGAAAAATCGAAATAAAATTGAAACTTCTACACCCTGTATCTCCGAAATTAAGCATTGTAGGACATACATTTATACGAACTTTTTTACTTATTTATATCTGCAGAATATGCTGCCGAAGTTTCCGGAATACAGTTCGAACCACCCCGTATAATATAATATTGTGTATAATTATTTGTTGAATTTATTTGGAGATTTTAAAATGTACTAATTTGGTTTAGGATCCGAATGAAATGATTCGTTTGTGGTACCACGAATGCTGTCGCGTATTTCAAGACCGCCTGGTAAACGACGAAGACAGGATTTGGTTCGAGAACTTACTCAGCAAGCAAATCTCCGACTTTTATCCTGTTGATCCCGAGGTCTCGTTGGGAGTTCGGCCTATTTTGTTTGGGGATTTTATCGATCCCCAAGTCGACATGGGACCGTACGCCCAAATAACCGATTTCGAAAAGTTGGACAGCTCCCTTAATTATCATTTGGCCGAATATAACATGCAGAGCACTAAGCCGATGAAGCTGGTACTGTTTTTGGACGCCATGTCTCACGTTTGTAGGATTTCCAGGATAATCAGGCAGCCGATGGGAAACGCATTATTGTTAGGCATGGGAGGATCAGGTTATTTATTTTTTATTTTATTTCATTCACAGTGGGGAAAATTTCCGTGTCAAATAGTAAAAAAAGTTATACAGGGTCGAGCAATAGTGCCTCGGGCGTCTGTCGCTCATAGAATAAAAAACTTGGGAATTTTGTATAAGAGGGAACCTAAAGTATGTACGAGGTTGTACTTCTGGAAAATATTTTAACTTCTATAGGGTGGCTCAAAAAAGTGTGAGTGGATCGATCGGGATGATTTTTTTTAAATGGAATACCCTGTATGTTGTTGCATTTTTGGCTTCCTTTGAGATCACTTGATATAATCCTAAGATATAAGTAAATATATTTTGATAGTTTCAAAGATATTAATAAATAAATGAAAAATATACTATATTTTTCAACCTTCCATAAAAGAATTATTACAAATACAGGAACAGCCCTGAAATCAAAACTATCCTAGGTATTTACTTTAGTTAGTCTATACTTACTTTGCTACAAATATCGAAATCTTAAATCATACACAACAGATACTATTGAAAAAATAATATACATGGTGTTCCATTTAAAAAAACCAAGAAAAATTATTTTATATTTTAGAAAGTTTGGCGTAGAATTTTGAACATACTGTATGATTTGCGATTACCATATTTATAGCAAAGTAAGTACAGACTATCTAAAGTAAATATCAATTATAGTTTTGATTCCGAAACAAGTTCTTGTATTTTTAAAATTATTTTCAAGAAAAGCTTAAAAATATATATTTTTCATTTATTTATTAATATCTCTGAAACTCTTAAAATATATTTACTTATTTATTATGTAAAATGGTCTGAAAGGAAGGCAAAAATGAAATAATATATAGGGTGTCCCATTTAAAAAAATCATCCCGATCCACTCACAGTTTTTTGTACCACCTTATAGAAGTTAAAATATTTTCCTGAAATACATCCTAATACATACTTTTGCTCTGCACTTATATAAAATTACAAAGTTTTTCATTATAGGAGCTACAGATGCCCGACGCACTATTGCCGAACCCTGTAGAGTTGTTATCAAAAATGTAAAATCCTATTCTTACACCGGTACGTAGTACCACACAATTCAATACAAAATCCCCACTTTTTATTTTATTTATTTATAAGAGACGTTTTTTATTGTTTCCTTTCCCTAATAGCATTCTCCACTTTTTAGATTTATGTCTGTTTCGTTGAGAGTGTCTGTATTTATTCAGATTTATTTTTAACATATACTTTCCTTTAGGGAGACAAAGTTTGACGAGACTGTCCGCTTTCATATCGGAATATACATGTTTTCAAATCGAATTAACGAAAACCTACTCCAACTACGACTGGCGAGAGGACGTGAAAAAACTGATGTTGAGCGCCGGCCTGCAAAAAAGGGAAACCGTATTCCTTTTTTCCGATAGCCAAGTAAGTTTGTCGGCCCGGCGTGCAGACTATAATAAAATGCCACGAAAATTCAGAAAATTTCTTCGATTTTGTTTGAGAGAAAGATGCTTCTGATCAGGGGTTGGATCTCTACTAAAAACTCCCACCGTAATAAAATTATTCGTAGTGTTTTTAGCAGATTATAACTATAACGGTCTTTGACGCCTTTTTTATCGTATGGTATTCTAGAGGTAAAATATCCACAAAAAACAAATTATAGGGCATTTATTTAACCCTCAACTGGCGGGCCCGGCCGTGGTGAAATTTTATACCGCTTATGGCGTTCTGGGGTCCGATCAAATACGTTCAAATAAAATATACGGAGGGTACCGCTTAAATTCCTGTCCCGATGTTGAAGGATGGCTATAGAATGTCAATGCATTTCCTACATAAGTCTATCCTTGTTCGGGAGGAGGTTTTCTGCGCTTGCTCGATCTGTAAGCACTTTGATTGGACAGTTCCAAATCATATGATATGTTTTGTTTTGGTTTTATTTTTATTTAGTTTAAGTTGAGGTTAAAGACGTTCTAATAATTGAATTAAATCTTTCGAAAAATTGGAAGCTTTTTGTTAAATATTCTGAAATCAAATAAGTTTGATAATGTAACATTATGCGCATATTTATCAATTGAGATATTTTAATCGTATCCAACATGTTGTGGCAAAACACTTTTTCGACCAAAAGTTTTCAGATATCTTCGATTTAGTTATTTTCGAATGTTTATTTTGTTTATATCTATTACAAACTCAAGGAGCAACAGTTTTTTACAAGTAGTGTTAATTTTGATGCTGGTGCAATACTAAATTAATGGTAAATTTAAACGTATTTGGGTCCGATAGACACGATTTGTTTTTTTTTCAGTTAAAAATAAATGGCGATGAGACTTTATAACAAGTTTGTTATACGTGTGTTAAGTTAGCACAACCACTTTAAAAAAATGTATGAAACTATGTGGAATAATTGCCGTAAATTAGCCGTAAATTTGCCGTGAAAACGAAAAATTTGCCGTTCTTCGCTAAGTATGTTGAATCAATGGTTGTGCTAAGTTAATATTAAGTTAGCACAACCACCATTGGAAATCAGTGAAAGAATATAGGAATTTTATAGTATAGCAGGAATTTGCCGTTTTTTTGCCGTTCTTAGATACAATTAAAAAAAATATCCTCCGATCATTCTCTATCCCCCTGCAACAAAAAATGTAATAGCGTCAAGGTCATATATTAAGTTAGCACAACCATTCTAGTAAACGTTAAATAAAATGTCTGAAATTAGGTGGAACAATTGCCGTAAATTAGCCGTAAATACACCATGCAAACGAAAAATTTGCCGCTCTATTATTTGTTTACAAAATCGATGATTTTTTTAATTAACGTAAAAGATAACGTTAAATTCGAGCTATTTTTCTTAAAATTCACTAAATGGGATCAATAATGACTTTATAGTACAACAGGAATATGCCGTAAATAAGCCGTGAAATCGAAAAATTTGCCGCTCTTTTATTTCTTTCTAAAATCTACAGGGTGATTCAAACTTCCGAAAAACCTCTATGTTAGGTTTTTGGTTTGTGAATTTCATTTCATTTTTTTATATAATATGGGGGCAAAGCTAACGCACATTTTGAAAATAATTTTGTCAGCATACAGGGTGATTCAAACATATTTTCAAACCAAAGTTGCATATTTTTAAATGGAATGCTATATAATTTTTTAGCTCAGTGGATTTGCCACTAAATTTCTGTTTCAAAAATACCATTGTGCAGAAATGCAGTTGTGGACCGAATTAATTTTAAATTTTAGTTTGACTGGTCTTATTTTATCAATGTAAATTACGTTAATAGCTGGGAGAAACTGCACAGAGAAATGAGAAACCTGCTCCTACCTTTCATGGTCGTCTCAGACAGCTTTAGAGGGCCCTCTTCTCGATCTTGATCTTCTCAGCGCTAATTTTCACACATACACTAACATGAATCGTCTTTGAAGGGATTTAACTTTTAAGTTCAGACTTTCGGCGCGTATCGGTTAGCTGACCAATTTCGTCGTACGACGGTTTGTAATAGACTGTGTGCCACACTTCCTAGTGTTCGGGCATGCGTACACTAATGTTGCAGGAAGCAGGTATAAGTGCGGCAATTTAAAATTTATAGAAATTAAAATAATTAATCTTAATCTAAGAAATTACATAAAAGAAAATAATTTTATAAAAAATATTAAGTTTCCTTAACACCTGTACTGCCAACCGTTCCATAACATTCTCGGGCGTAGCAGGGTACGCAAGGCGAACGAGGCGGGCTACGTCGGCTTCAAACTCCTGCAGAGACTCATTTGACTTAGTTTTAGGACATACATTTATACGAACTTTCTTACTTATTTTTATCTGCAGAATATGCAGCCGAAGTTTCCGGAATACAATTCGGACCACCCTGTATAGTATTCTATTTAAAAATATACAACTTTGGTTTGAAAATCTGTTTGAATCACCCTGTATGCTGACAAAAGTATGTTTAAAATGTGCGTTACCATTGCCCCCATATTATATATATAATATATATTAATTATTATTATAATTTATTTATTATTACCCCATTTTATAATATATAATAAAAAAAATGAAATGAAATTCACAAACCAAAAACCTAACATAGAGGTTTTTCGGAAGCCTGAATCACCCTGTAGATTTTATAGAGAAATAAAAGAGCGGCAAATTTTTCGATTTCACGGCTTGTTTTCACGGCATATTCCTGTTGTACTATAAAGTCATTATTGATCCCATTTAGTGAATTTTAAGAAAAATCGCGCTAATTTAACGTTATCGTTTACGTTAATTAAAAAATCATCGATTTTGTAAACAAATAATAGAGCGGCAAATTTTTCGTTTGCATGGTGTATTTACGGCTAATTTACGGCAATTGTTCCACCTAATTTCAGACATTTTACTTAACGTTTACTAGAATGGTTGTGCTAACTTAATATATGACCTTGACGCTATTACATTTTTTGTTGCAGGGAGATAGAGAATGATCGGAGCAGTGGTGAAAGGAAAGTTATCTCTTTCCGTCGTCGCGCGTCGGAAGCAAAAAAAATACAAAGAATAAAGAAAAAAAACTATTTAAAATATTTAAATTCAACTATTCGAGAACACTTTACTTTTTTTAAAATAGATACGTCTACAAGAAACCGTTGACGTTCTGTTAAAATGACATTTTTAACTTGATATTTAAACTTCAAAATTAACAATTACTACCTAATAATAATACCTATTTAATAAGGTAAAACCAAAAAGCCTCAAACTTTCTGTATGATTATTTTTAAATCTTACGTATGTTATATTTATTTATCTTGTTGTATCTATTGTTCTTTAAAATCAAATAAGCGATTGCCATACATTACTAACATCTACAGATACATGAGCAATACATTTATTTTTATTAGATTGAATTAAAAAAGCCTCTTTTATTTTTCTTTTAGAGGCTATCGCTTCTTTCATTATAATTTTGGCGTTATTAAAATTTATTCTGTGCCCTGTGTCCCAGGAATGCTGACAAATCTTAGATTTGTGAAAATATCCCTTTCTTAAATAATCTTTATGTTCTTTAATTCTAACATTTAAGGATCTAGATGTTTCACTAATGTAAAATTTATCGCATTCACAGGGTATTTGGTATATTACATTTTTTGTTTGTTGTTCTGTATTCATTGATTTAGTATGTGATAAAATGGATCTAGATATATTTTGTGTTTTGAAAGATGTTCGTATGTTATATTGTTTTCCTATCCTTCTTATTTTTTCCGAAACGCCTCGTATGTATGGAATTTTAAGTTGTATATATTGTGTATTGTTATCATTGTGTCTATGTATTATTATTGTGCCACATTGGTATAGACATTTTTTACGAATCTTATATTTGCTACTACGAACATTTAGAGATATTTAGAATTTTTTAATCAAGATCAAAAATTAATCCAGTAAGTAGTGTGTATTAAATTTGAAAGAAAATAAAATAAAATGCAAAAGGTTTAAAACACGTCAATTTTTCCAATCATGAAGAAGCAAATCAGAGATAGAGCTGAAATATATAGAGCAGAAAATATTATGGCGCTTTTCATTAAAAAAACAAGTTTCTTTCATTATTGATTGGGCTGTTTGAGAATTTTCTTTTATATTTTCTCATTCGCCTAAATAAGAAAAGGGTGCTAAAGGAATTTAAGATGTGTGAATTTCTCAGATAAAAGTATTTAAAACCCTTCTGGATATGTTGGAATAGATACAATAAGTGTATAGTGTCCGGAATTATACAGGGTGAGTCTTAAATAAGTGCAAATATTTTCAGGGCTGATAAAAGAAATATTTTAATTAATAATTATAAAAGAAACAAATTTACAAACTTTATTTGTGGCTAATACAACTCTCTGGCCATAGTATCTGGCAAACTGTGTCTCTGGCGGGCTCTGGGCACGGAATAAAACTATGGTTTAGGTCAACACTTAATTTTCCCTGGAGTTTTTCTCTACTTAATAACTAATTACACAGTCCAAAATGCAGAATGCAAAATATTTATCATTTCTATTTGACATAATCTGACACAAAATTATAACCTATAATTTCGCAAGAGTTTGACAATTCTCAAAAATCTTAAGTCGAGTTCATACGCATCGGTGTCACTTTGTCGTTCATCATTCCGTCAAACCAATAATATTGAAATATGATCTGTCATTTTGGAAATAAACCAATAGAATTGGTTAAAAACAAGAAGAGATGACGCATGACGAATTTATATATAAACTCATCCATAGTTAACGTAAAAAATATTAGAAACTTTTTTTAGTGAAATAAATGGATTAGTATGGACGTCATATGCTTTTTTTTCTGTCATCGCCTGTCGAAATCTCACCTGAGAAAAAAAAACAGAGTTTGTCCACGACCACTTAATAATAAATCAATATCCTACTTCCTAGCTGAAGGAATATGGTGCCCATTTTGTAAC